GGTCGTTTGTTAGCACCTTAGACTGGGTTAGCTTTGTTTTTGCGCCTGGTGTGACAAAAAACTGTCTGGATTGCCACAGAGGGTGTGACAATCGCGTTCTGGAAACTCGAGGTGTGGCAGACAAGTGCTGCTCACGGTATAAGACTTTTCCAGACCCCAATTTACCCCCCAGTGGCGAAGAACACCTTGGGCAACAAAAATCGAATCCCTGGCACGGCCTTCTCAGGCGAGCGGGCATCACGCGTCCCGGGTACGGGCGATGGGAACGGATGCCTGGCAAAGTGCAACACTGCACTGAGAAAAGGCAGACACGGCTGACACCACAGCTGCACGCAGGGGTGCACGCCAGTGACCCCAAAGGCTCTGCACCAGCGAGCTCAGGGCGCCGGCAGCAGAGGGGACCTGAAGGGCTTCGGGCCGTAAAGAGGAGTCCCCACAGGAACAGCAGATATTAGTTCCCCAAAAGGTTTTGCCGTGGAGAACTAAACGTGAGCCCGCGCTCCGGTGCGCGTCCTGCAGCACTTCCCTGCCCCGGCAGTTTGTAAAGGGATTAGGTAAAGTGGCCCTTCTCCAGGGGGGCAGGGCCAAAGGAAGCAGCACAGCTGGTGCTAAGAAAGAACTTTATTTCTAAACGGAGCTGGGGGTGGGGGCTGGTGAGGGTACATGCCTGTCCCCCGCCAGTGCTCTTGTGCCCACCCCCAGCCACTGTGGCTGACGCTGAGCCCGGGAAGGGGTAAGTGGGTCTTAGGGATGGGTTGTTTGGGGCAGGGGAGGCCCCAGGTCCCCCTGCCTCGCGTGGCCCCTTGAGGGGCCTGTTGAAGGTGGCCCATAGCCACGGATGCTTGTCACAGAGCCGAGACTCCTGGGCTTCCGGGCTGCGAGGCCACGCAGCCGCTTCACGACCCGGGAGGACAGCCTGAGTGCGGGCCCAGGTTCTCGGCAGCCCACAGCTCCGCGTCTGCTCCAGCTTGGACACCTGCTGAAGGACAAGCTGGGCTCCAGGAAAGGCTTCCTGCTGCGAGCCAAGAAGGGTGCTGCCCCCAGCCAGTGCCCCTGGTCCTCTGTGTCCTGGCAGTTCCTGGGGAGGCACTGGAGTCCATGGGGCAGGGAGGCAGCAGGTCCCCGGGGGGCTCGCAGGTGATCTGAGTGTTGGACGGCCCTTCGGGCCAGGCCATGTCCCTCCCCGCCCCTTTCCCTCTCCACCCTCTGACCCTCAGGGCCGAAACAGTCCACACCCCCCAACTTCTCCCCCCTTACCTGGGTTCCTGTCCCTCTGCCCTCTCTATTCTGTTCTTTCTCCTATTCCTGCCTCTCTCGGCCCCACGGTCCCCCTATGTCTGTCTCCCTCCCTGGGTCCCTCTGGCTTCCTCTCTTGCTGTACCCCCCCCCCC